ATTACAAACGGCTTTGGGTAAACATTGAGGTTGTTTCATTCCCATTACGGCTCGGGGCGACGCGATACAGATTGCGATAGCTGACAATGATATAGCAACATTAGGAATACAGCGTTGAATAACAATTTGTCCTGATAAATAAAGCCGAAATGACGTGTCTTTAGGCGCCTATCTTACCTACTCGTTAACTCGTGAGTGACCATAAACATACTTAACATTATAAATATATAACTCTATCTAAATGGAATTTGGTATACAAATAGTTTAAGATTCAAAAGGACATAATATGATAGCTTTTGTCCCGGAAATCCTCTGTTTAAGTAGTGAAAAGAGGGTGGCAGCTCGTACGGAGAACACATAAGCCAGTAACATGTGATCGCAGTCGTGGGCAACCGCAAGTATAGTATATACTCCACTTAATTACGGGACTTAGGACCGTAATTTAATTAATTTGGCAAAAATTACAGGTAATTTTGTAATTAAAGTGTATTATCTTAGTTTATGGGATATTATTTTATTCTTTATATATATGGGAGATATATTGATAAACAAAAGACCACTAGACGCACATTATTCTTGAAAAATTTCACCGTGTAACGTTTGTTTAAAATTGCTATTAAATCGAATAAATAAGAGATAAATAACACAATCCAGCATTTCTCAACGTCTAGCGCATAAAATATAGCTGAACCTCCTAGGGATTAGTTCGGGAATGTACTTTGAAGGTGGAGATTTATATTGCCGATACTATCGTCCGAAGCCTGAACCCCTGTTGGGAAAGGCCATTGGTCTCTGCGGGATTAGAATTCTATCTATGGTTACTTAAATATTGGCGGATTTTCGTATGAGAATTCGCTGAACGCAGGAGGGACGGAACGTCTGTGCGGTCAGATTTGTTACACGCGTACAACAAATACACGTATGTTTGTATACCGAACGTTGGAAAAGTTTTAACGAACGTAGTTTTTTTTTAAATGAAAATATTAACCTTATCCTACTAGTTGTTTGTCAATCGGGGCAAAGATAAACTCTAAAATGGTCTTTGTTAAATTTGATGAAACATTGTGGAATTTATAACTGGCCAACAAAAAACACCTTTGGGAATAATATCATCATCATCAACCCCAAGACGCCCACTGTTGAACATAAGCCTACCACATAGAACGCCACAACGAACGACACTTTGCCATTTGCATTCACCGATTGCCCGCGACTCTTACGATGTCGTCGGTCCACCTAAAGGGAATGATAATAATTATGAGATTAATATATAGAGATGCACAATTTATAAAGTTAAAAAAAGTACAGTAACAGCCTATATACGTCGTACTGCTGGCCAAAGGCCTCCTCTACACAGAGGGCATATAGTCTACACTGCTCTGCTGCGGATTGGCGAGGTTCACATAAATTGGAAATATGTTTTTTGTTATTATTTCGAAAATATGCAGAATTCTTTACGATGTTTTCCTTCACCGCTGTAAAGTAAAAAAAAGTTACAGTTCACGTTATAATTCAGCAGTAATAAGATAAACAATTTCATTGGTGCTGGCACCATGATTTGAACTTAGGTCGCTCGAGTATATTGAATTGAAAGCGAGTATCTGGAAAATGACGGCGGAAACGAATAAACGGTGGTTAAATCTTATAAAACAGTGAAAATACTATCCTTACGGATGTTTGTTACTGTTTCACGCAAATACTATTGAATGGATTTTAATGAAACTAATACATAGGCTATAATTTATATGCATATTTTATGTATATCTGTCTTTCTATCTGAATGTTACGCCTTCAGCCTGTTCTACGCAGACGTAGTCGCGGGCAACTGCTAGTATTATATAATACTAAACTTATAATCAATGTCATATTGTATTTAGCTTTGAATGATAATATTTGAATCCTGAAAATAAATAACGATTGTAATACTTCACCACATGCCCCAAAAGTTTTCGCAAGTGAACAGGGCGTTTATTCCCAAAGTTCGTAAATATTGAACTTTTGATTACTTTATCATCTATGATAACTTATTTGAACAGACAAGCCACTAAATAAAAATAATGATTCTTTATTGCAGAAGAAACACACACGGTTACTATAAAATACCACACACACGTTACTGGTAAAGTTGAAGTCAATAAAAAAGAAAAATATGTGACGTCATGTAAATGTTTGAAAATTTCTGGAGATGATAAAATGTGAGAATTATTAATACACGTCATATGTTATGGATAATGGACACATTGAATAGTATTATAATTGTGTTTAGAATCGTTACTTTTTTTTATCAAATTAGGACATTATTCATTAATTCATCATTAAAAAATAAATGTAAACTACGCTTATTGAGTCATTACAAAATAAGATTAGTTATTTATTCTACTTAACGTAAGTAATCGTATTCAGCGCTCGTTATAATGAAGATTGAGTGATTCATAGAATTATCATGACATCGCTCATGACTCGGAAGGCAATTAAGCATAAATGTTGTACGTTACCCAACACAGTTAATGATTCTTTGAATTACCCTTTAACTTTGCGAGCTTGAAAGTATACTGTCTCTTATCTTTCGTCATTACTTCGTCAGGAACTAAAAAGCACTATTTCGACCTAGAAATAGCAACAAGCAAATCATTTTCTTATAAACTTCTATGACACACATCGTGCTTGATTATGCTTATCGTACGAAAATTGAGTAGGTGCGAAACCAAGCTGAGCACGAGTAATTGCCCACGAAAACTAACTTAATAAACAAACGTTTTCTTATCAAATACAAGCGTGTAAACTAGTATTTTTATGTTAATACAAAAAATGCAAAAAAAATGAAAATGCAAATGAAGTAAACTCACTTGTTACATGATTATTAAAAATCTATAATATTTCTGCATAAAAAAAGAACTTTCAGGCGTTTTCCAGCATCTAATAAGCGTTATACAGCGAGAATAGCGACGAACCAACATAACATTCCCTTTTAAATGAGCGTTCGCAGAAAGCCCGTGGCTTTGTTGAACGCTGCACAGGGTGTTCTGAACACGGAATATGTCAAAAGCAAATATTTTGCGGCGACAGATTCATTACGACAAAAGCACTCGAGCGTAAGCTTAATAAAATTGTGTTCTGTAAATGTGCTTTTACACGACTTTGTTAGATACCACGTTTTCGTGCACAATACCATTATTATTATTACAATTAATTAAATTCCCCGCTGCTTTATATTATTATCGTGCTTTATGTAATAATAACTTACCAATATTCTGGGCCATATTTATTCAGGAGTTAAATTGAATATTATTTTAAGAAGGTTCGTCCGTGTAAGTACCACGACCTCACAGAAGACCGGCGTGACGTGGAAGTATAATACTTTCGCGTTTCCCCCGGTGAGTGAGGTAGCCGGAGCCAAATTTTCAAAAGGTTGTCAACGCATCTGCAACCCCCGAGTGTAGCAGATGTCCATGGGCGGCGGTATTCTCAGGTGAACCGCCTGCTCGTTTGGAAACTTTTCACATAAAAACAAAGATCTATTAAGATAATATGAAACAAATTCATATAAAATGCATTCTTATAAAAATCATTATCACAACACCACTTATATAGAACTAGCTTTTCCCCGCGGCTTCGCTCGCGTTGAAGCCCTTAAATAAATAGCTTTCTTTAACCTTTCAAAACTTTTCAACACTTTTTTCCAATTAAAAAATAGCCTATGTCCTTTCTCAGGTTATCAGTGTACTAAATTTCATTTAAATCGATTCAGTAGTTTTGGCGTGAAAGCGAGACAGACAGACAGAGTTACTTTCGCATTTATAATATTAGTATGGATAATATAAATAAATACCTCCCGAAGTTCAATTTGCGGGCTATCTAAAAATAAAGGCTTACTGCCTACTGCATTTGAGTCAAAAGCGATTCATCTCGAACTTTCAGTCACCAGAGAAGGTGTATAGGATGTACCCAGACATTACATTACAGTTCGCAGACACTACATGCTAATCAGATCATGCGGTAGGGTCAGATGCTATGTTCGATGCTTATATATTTCCTTTTTTTTTCCTTCGTTATTATATATTTTCTTTCAACTGGTACATAAAATGATAATGTCTATCGGATAGATAGATAGTCTTCATTTGTAAAAACATGATGTACATACATTGCATGCAAGATATTAAATATACATTGTCCTATCATGTCCAGGCCGTATCACGGCATATAAATTGGTTACAAGAGATGATGCATTGACCGCAATATTGTTTATTATAAACTTTATACTATTGCCAAATATAATCATATAACATGCCATTATTCAGTCATAATAAAATTAATTACGAGATTGATTAATAAAACTGTTGCTATAAATAATGTCAATATTGAAATAACAGAAATGATAATTCAAACAGTTTACAATTTTTAATACATAATATAATGCAAGTATATATAATGCAATCGGAATTACTTACCATCAGTTATTATACTTCTATAATGATACTTTCACTCAGTAAAATAAAAGCTGAATACTGTTCGATCGGCATTCGACGTAAATTCGATTCCCACAGCGGCGACAATCTTTTCCTAATTTTTCTACAAATTGTATTGTTTAATATTAAGTGCAGATTTAGATTAGCACTATAAAAATGTCTAAAATTCAATGGCGACATCTCTCGTTCGAATTATCATTGTAAAACGATATTCGAAATTGTTTGTAGCTGGAAAGGATATAACAATGGATGCGCCAATAATTGCTTCAAATGCCAAAAACAATGTAAATACAAGACATTAAGATTATCGTCGGTGTGGCAATCAGCCTTTTGCTTAGTGGCTAAAGCTTCAGGGCGCGAATGCCGAAGACGTGGGTTCAATTCCGACAGCGGCGACAATCTTTTCGTTCTTTTTCTACAAATTTTAATGAATACTACTGATTAACCTTGTACCAATACACTTATTGAAGAACACTGTAAAGATATGGAGACCATCACGGATAAATAATCATGTCTTTTTTTTTTTTGTTTCAGCCATAATTCTGTGCGCGTATGCTGCAGGAAATGAAGAGAAGAAAACTGAAGAAGATGATATGCTGAAAGACAAGAGACAAACGGAAGAGGGGAACTCTGATGGAATGTACCGATCGCCAAGAAAACAAGTAAATATGTCTATTGCAACAAACAGCAAGGCGAATATATCTGTTTAAGTTATTTAATTAACTTGAGACGTTCTGTTCAACCTCTAATTTGTTCATTGCCCAATCTAAAGATCAATTTCTATGTTTTCGCGGCGATTTAAAATTACGATACGATATCAATTTTGTAAGCATTACAATATACATATTCACTTGACTGTAAAGTGAAAAATAACATGTTAATTTGAAGTTTTTCAGTAAATTGAGACCAATGCAATTTGAAATGTTAAATAGTAAAGTTAGTGAGTTGAGCCGTGATAGCTCAGTGTCCGGGGCGCTCGCCTTTAATTCAATATACTCCAGCCCAGCAGTGGGACATGTGTAGGCTGTTACTTTACTTTTTTTTTAAAGTTAGTGATTACTTCAGTCAGTGTTTATAAATTTTAATATATCGGTAGTCTCCGTTCCAAAGTCGTGTTTTTGTCTTCATTTGCTTTTAGCACTTTGGAGCCAAACTGACTTCACATTGTTAAGTTAGAGAAAAATAGACTACAAGACATAATAAGCCTAGTCTGCGTCAGACATTTAATAAAGATACACTAAGTTTGTATACAAATATTAATCCTAAATAACGGAGGCTTTGTAGAAAAATATTAAGTAACGAACTAAGGCTTTTTAAGTACCTTTTTAACATTAATATTTTTAGGTAATATTATGGACGTTCTTAAAATAAATTCACAATTATCAAGAATTTCGTATAACACATTTGTTTCGTAACTTATTATGTTTAAAAACTTTTTGAATCATTATAATTATAAAGGGTGTGGTGAGCGAAACGTTTGATTTTTTAATATAGCTCTATAGTAAACAGAATAAACGACGATAACGAACTGGCTCTGAAAAGGTCTAAAACATTGTTTATAGATGAGCATAAACCGAGTTCTAACGGAGCTTGCGTAATATTTACCGTAATACAAATAAAATTTCACGGAATGCATACAACTGTCCATCTAGCTGTCAACATTGTTAGCTGCTTTACAAAGTACAACCAGACTCACGGCAGCGACCAATTTAAATTTTAAATGTACATCTTTCAACGTCGCTTACAGTTCCCCTAACTATATGGTAACTAGTGTAAATCTAAACTCCGTAGACTTCTCTATTTTAATTCAAATTTAATGCCGACGTACACAGTTACAGAATGTTTATGGCCTCCTCTATAAAATACTAGTGCTCTATTAATGTTATTATTAAAACATGACATACGGCAAGTTTTCCGTATATATATCACCTTACACGTGGGGTTTTAACTAATGGTTTTAATTAAGTCTCCATAGAATTGGAGCGTAAGCAGACATAATTGGTTTTCGGAGATAATTCTAGAGATTCGGGTGTTTTTTCCCTAATACCGTGGATGTAAGTTTAATTACAAAATGAGTATTGGAGATCCTTCAGGTTTTTGCGAGTACAATTAAAAGAATTTTTACATTCATCTTGTGAACAGTTTATTTTCGCCTATCACTTGTGTAGGATGTTGAAAAGCTTAAAATGACATCGTCCGGGCCGGCTAAGAAAAACGAACTGATTTTTTTTAAGGAGAAAATTAAAGCACGCTCGTCGTCTGTCCTTTTCTAAGTCACTCGTATTATCGCGCTTGATTGCAGCGCTACCTAATATACTCTGCAAATGGAAAATGCTAGCAAGCACGAATATTAGCTGAACCTAGTATATTCTCGTTGCTGTTGCTATTCGCTTGTTGGCGCTTGTAAATTGCAGAAAGCCGTTACTAATTTAGGAAACTGCAGTCATCGAGACTGTTAGTCATTCGAAGATGTCGACTAATTAAATTGTTTTGCTAATAATGCAATTGAGGCCAGCACTTAGTACAGACATATAAAATAGTACAATACCTAAGACAAAAGAGATAGAGTTTATTTAACAATTTGACCTCTTTACATTATTACAGTATTATTAAAGGTATTTACAGTAAAACTTAAATGCATTGCCCTATTTTGGAATCTACAACTTCTATGAGATTGAGGATGCGTTGGCGACCTTTAAGCGAAAGTAGTAGTTTCGCCCGTCTTGATATTGATATTTCCACGGGTAAGCCGTGGCACTCATACAATAGCCGAAACAACTGTGTACTCCACTAGGGTATTTTAAATTTTTTTATTTTAAATAATGGGCCCCCCTAATTTAAAACCATACAAAGAGCAAAAACAAATTGTCTGTCTTGTATGAGGTTGCATACTTTCTCTTATTAGTCTACCTAAAAATAGCTACTGTCTTAGTAGCTAAAATCAATTGGTTAGCCTTATTGGCGGAGACCGCGCATTACGCACAAAGGGTCTCAAGATAGGGACACTAGATGGGTATCATACATTTATCAAAATAATTAAATTTCTCCAATAAAGCTTTTAGCATACATTTGAGTAAAATGGTTTTGCTTTGCTTTACAATTTTGCATTAACTTACAGGACGTTAGGACTTAGGTTACGCCTCGCCCTTTCACTTTTGCGTCCTAGATTTAGCAACGTCACGATCGGCCCTTTAGTTCGCTTTAAGCGACAATAAACCGTTGTGTAATTCGGACGATCTGAGATTTTGTTCCGCAGATAAGAGTATTACAACTGCTGATTGTAAAATGCGTCACGGAATTGAGTAGTCCATGCACCATAAAATATTGATTCTTTTGTTCAAACAAACAATTGAATTATATACCGTCTAATTAATGAATTAAGTGCAGACGTACTACACGCAAAGATTCGGAAACATTATTCTCGCGAATGAACATATTCAAAATGTAAATTTTGAACTCTTTGCCAAAAAAATTTAATTTTATTAATATTTTTTTAAACAATTTTTTTTATCTAAATTTTATTTTACTAAAATTCTTACAAGACCACAAGTCTGAAAAAATGAAAAAAAAAAAAGATCTTAGCCTCAACATTGCTTTCGTCCAAAACTACTGTATCAAACTGTAACAAACCATAGATATTGACAAAATTTCTTGAAGTATCATGGGTGAGCTCCATTTCGATGGAGCGGTTTTGAAAATTATTAGCTTTAGACAAGTGGTTTTTATGTATTGAGGTATCCAAATAAATTTCGTTTAAACTTTTATGAACACTAACTTGTGCTTTTTATATGTTTAAATGTTACAACCTATGGATATATAAGTATTTTGTAGAATTAATATGACAACTATAAATAACGGTATTCGAAAAGGCATTCTAAAATCCGTCAAAATCAACGAAACTCAATCAACGTATACAATGCAATGCAACAACAATGCAACGAAAAAAGCGTTGATTTAAAATATAAGAAATTATTTTGTTTCTCGCAATATTAATTTATGCGTTAACATAAACTTGGGTTGAAAAGTGATCATTTAGATACTTCCACACATGCGAAATAACACGCTCCGGTTATAACTTTCTCTTATTTGATTTGTATCGATACAAATCTAATATTATAATAGAGCATAAATTTGACATCAAAATCGATATATGTACACTTATTATGATTGAAGGTAACCATTGCACACCCGGTACTGTTATGTACTATAATGATTTTTTTATGTGAAAATTTGCCAAGCCAGCAGGCGGTTCACTTGATGTTAAGTAAATACCCCTGCCCATGGACATTTATGACACCTGAGGGGTTGCAAATGCATTGCCAACTTTTTAAAGAGCGGGTCCCGGCCACCTCACTCACATGACGATATGCGAAATTGTAATACTTCCGCTGAACGCCGATCTTCTGTGAGAATGTGGTACTTAGCAGAAGTTAGTAAGTGAGCCTACCTCAGGAAAAAGTGTTTTCACAAAATTTAAAGACATAATAAACCTTCATCTAAGCTTCAACACTTGTATTAAACACATACACCTGTGTAATTAACGCTCTTCCTTTGTTTATCTTAAAGCAAAATGAATATGTTCTAGAAGTGAAAACTTTTTAAGTAAGTTACAGCATAACATGCTGTAACATTACTTACGTAATATGTATGTTCCACTACATATTATGTATGTTCCACTGACAAAGGCCTCCACAAAGGCTAGGTATTCCATTCCTTTTGTGAATCTTCAAATTGTCATCAAGCACATTTCATATACTCTATTTATTGCTAGAAAAGGTCAGTCTCTATGTCTGAGTTTCTTGATGGTTTGTATTAACATGTTTTTAACATTTTCGTGCAGAAATTTTCTTGTATCTTTTTGGACATTGTCCAAAAATAAACTAAGTCATATACTTATATATCGTACAAAAACCATCAGAGTTTTATTCTAATGAATGACATCTTTCTAGAAGTATTGAATGATGTGAATTATTCACGCAAGAATTCAAGCGACATGAATTATAATGAATTACTTCAAAAAAATTATCTAGGCGATAACATGTGTATGTGTCGAAAAATAAACTACAAATAACAAATGCAAATCATCATGCAACTTTTTTTGCACAATTTATTTTTTGCAAAATCTACATTTTACTTGTATTTGAAGATTGAAGAGTAATTTCAGTAAAAGAAAATTATAGTTTATTGCTGTAATTATGTGTTTGGAGGTCAACATTTCACACAATTGGAACCACAAAAACGTTGTTTACTTTCACCGCAGAGCTAAAACCTGAAAGAATTTTAATAGTTGAACGTAATTGTATTTGATCCTAATGAAGTTTTTTTTATGTTTCACCTACAAATGACACAAATGTTATTTCATACACACACATACAGAAATTATATATCTTGAGCACAATTATTAATTATAATAGACGTTATAGATATAAAAGAACACTCTAAAACATGTCAACCAATACAATAAAGAAATTTTAGTTATTGAATAATTGGATGAATGAATACTTTATTGGCCACCACACATAAAAGGATACACAAAATTAACAATAGACAAACAAGTTAATGGAATGCACAATTTGGCGGCCTTATCGCTTCATAGCGATCTCTTCCAGGCAACCAATGGCTGCATTACGTTCGGTAAGATATTGATGTTGTTTTAAAAAATAGAGAAAAGCATTTTTTCTCGAAAGGAAGTAAAGATATAACATGTTCGGTAAAATTGAATGTCTTGACATATAAATAATTCAATAGGCGCCTCCATTGAAATGGAGGTACGCAAGTCAAATGTTGGGTAATTTCATTTGTCAGCTACGCGCTCTTAATACGGCTTTAATAGCGTCTCCTTATTTCGTCAACGGTTATTAGCGGAGCACGAAATAACGGCGGAATGTTCTACGGGGGCAATAGCAATTGCGATGTCTAATAACACCTCTGTCGCGTTCTGAATGGTGGCGTCGCGCTATGAACGTCCGTTGCTGCTACTTTATAATTGTAACTGTTGCGAAAAATAGCGTTAATCCGTGGAAAACGTGACACTTTGCTAAAGCGTCGTATCGTGATGCAATATGGCCAAGCATCTACTGAAATCATGGCCATTTCTTGATTAGTAATACCAGGTATATGGTAGCAGTTGTGTAGTATCAGGTCTTTACACTCTTGTCTTGAAGGCACTTACATCATTCTCTGACGAAGCTTTTGTTAGCAAATTGTAATAATCATTTCGATTTTTTTCCATTTCAAAGAAAGTAAGATAACAGTCAAATTACTTACGTATTAACACTTACTTCAGGTTATATATTACTATTATTATACTTCAGATTACGGCTGTGATCGTTAATCATATGTGATTAACATCTCTGGCCATTCATTATTCTTAGTCAAAAAATTTGCATATGGCGATAGAATTAACCTTAATGGCGATAGTCCCTTACGTTTTCTCTTACACGCCAGAGCACTGCTATATAATTTGTTAACGGGTGGACTTAGTGGTCAAAGTACCCGGCTGCTGAAATACATGTCTAAAGTTCTATGCGTAGAGCACCAAAACATCCTTACATCCAAATTATTAAAACGTTGGATAGGAAATAAAATTATTCATGAAGCGAAGACAATCCTGAATTAAAATTCCGGCTAAAATCAAACCGTGGTTTGAAATTTTAACTTCTGATTTCAAATGTGCTCGTCGGTGAAAGAAAAATGAAGAAAACGAATATACCAAAATGTAAAAAAAACGGCCGGGTTCCGTACCATTACCTATTGCAAAAAATCATGTCTGTTGTATGGGTATTTCACTTAAATATATAACACGAACAGACGGACAGACGGACAGACGGACAGACAGACAGACATACAGACAGACAGACAGCGGATTAATAGAGTCCCGTTTTGCCCTTTGGGTACGGAATCGGGGTACGTGTACCTCATATCCTCACTGCACAGAAGACCTTGCCTGTTATGTGGGATATTCTTTTAAAGTCGATTCTTTACTTTACTTCTCATACATGGCTATACTGAAGGGTAACACTAGCATGTTGTACAAAATGTTAAATAAAAAAAATACATACATTCGAACATTGAACCTCCTCCTTTTTTGAAGTCGGTTAACAAAAATAACCCATGACTGTATATGTCAATTTTGTCATTTTGCCGTAGATCTCCACATTTCAGTGATGGTTATTTTTAATTATCAAGATATCGACAGCTAACACATGTAGCTATTATGAAAAGCAAACATTTCTATAGATTATTTCATGTTAAATATTTCCGTAAACGATATATTATATGTAAGAGTAAGTTTGTGGATTATAGTAACCCATCATAAATTTTACGTAGGTCTACCATCTTTTCAGGTTAATGCTTAGGGTAGACAAACAACAAATAGCTTGGTCATAACATACATTATTCTTACTCATCGCCATTTATCATGTGTTGTCGGGAATGAAAACTATATGGAAAATATACAAGCATTACTACCTTTTTAATTATGACCTTTTTGCAAAATTAAACTTTCACTTACAAGAGATTTAAATAATGTAGTAGTTTGAGTCATGTCAAAGGGAAAGAAAGATCTGCTTTTATGTATAAAAAAATCGAGTAACGAATTCGTTCTTCTTGAACAACGCAGTGACATGAGCTAGGTCCAATTAAATAGTATTTTCTTTAGACCAACATAGCTTGACTATATATTTGCGGATAGAGTTTTATCGGTAGTTAATCCAGTGTCATTTCAGCCTACGTCTTATCGTTTGTGACGACAAAAACATACCGTATAACTAAACACAACGAATTACGTGTTATTTCTATTTGGATAGTACCGTAATTGTGTGATAGCTGTGTTTCGGTAGGGCCGGCCCACGTTGCGTAAATTTGACGGTTGGACGCATCTAACGCGCCACGCCGCCGGTTTCAGAATGCTCGATAATCTCGCCGCATTGTCTCATCCTTCTCACCAGCTTTCACCGGCACGCGTGTCTAATGTAACACATACTGGTAATTGCAACTTGCTCTACGCTCTTGTTATATGACATGCATTATTGTCGCATCTTTCGTTTGCAGTGAACATTTTTATATGAACGCGTGTTAAATCGAGGCTAGATAGCTCCCGGCTATCGAGCATTTAGTCACGTAAATTATAAGACGACGTTGAAATCGGAATATTTATGGATGTTTTATTTGAAAAAAAATTATACAATTGTTTATTTTTGTATTATAACGTTCTGATAAACCGTAATAAACTGAAAAATGCAAACTTGAGTTTGACGATGAAATAAACAATAACTAAATTATATTTATAAACACTGACTGTTATTCTTTATTTACTATGGATACCTTTAGTACTTACTAATTATCATTCCATTACTTCTGCGTAACTCTAGATTCTTTCACATAATTGTATTTATTCCAATAACTTACGCATTTTATGCTTAACATAATAGAAAATGAGGCGTAATTTACAAAATATAACCGCCACAGCTATATTTTTTTTTTGAATTTACTCACGACTTAAATTGAAAGTAATAAAACATATTGTAATCATCACCCTATATTTACCCATTTATATACTGGTAAGAAAATATAACATCAAGAATAATGGCGATTTCTTTTTAAAATAAACTTTGTTTCAGGAACAAGCCGCACCTGTGGAAGAACCACAAGAAGACGATAAGTCATCTGGGTAAAAAACTTTTTTGTTAAGAGTTTTTTAATGTCTCAACTTGAAAACCTGAAGAGATATGCACGACTTGCAATTTTGCAATTCTATATATTTCTGTAACTTTTTTAATATCACTGGGACAACAGCTTCCAGTTGCAGTAGTTAATCTTCACCTGCCTAACTTTAACTATGTATTCATATTTAGTTTTCTATATCAGACCAAATTGACTTAACACATTTCACCATCACAAAACTTTGTCACAAAATTGTTTTTCATAGTTGAAAAAAAGTACCCTATTTACGCTTTACACTTAACAGAATATTATAATTGAAATACCAAATATTTGTTCTAAAGAAGAATATATTTATCCATTTGCGTATCGTAGGAAACCAGAATTGGAGGAGTATCGTCCTGGGCAAGTTTTCTCTCTCAACGCTCAGGAGTTGCTTGAGTTGCAGCCCGAAAGAAAAGCGCCTTTAGCTGGTGGGCAACAGCTGCAACAGCTGCAACAGTTGTACGCCAACCCTCAGCCCGAGCAAAAGCAGAATTTGCAGCCATTCTACTACCTAGACCCGCAACTGTCGCCACAGGTAATTTACAATCGAAATAATTCGGCTACTTTTCATCTTCTTCTTCTTATTATATAAAGAGGAAAGATTTGATTGTTTGTATGTATTGAATAGGCTCCGAAACTATTAAACCGATTTAAAAATTCTTTCACTGTTGAGAAGCTACATTATCCCTGCTTGACATAAGCTATATTATATTTTCAAAAAAATTAGGGATCCTTATTAAAACTCCAATAATGTTATTCAAGGTGTACAAAAATTACCTAGAATATTCTTTACATCGCGTGCGCGGCGAAAACTATTGATGATAAAATAAAATAATGTGTTACGACTTTGCAGAACACATCGTTATTTACAAAAAGTCTCGCGACAGCATATGTCTAACTATTATAGTTATGCCACAATAAGTGTTCTTTTATTTTAAAATTTTGATTGAAATGCCGCCGCTAACAAAGGCTGTTTATTTGTATCTTGGTATAAATCCTTATAAAAATAAATTACTTCATATTTAAGACTGTTTCAATATCTTTATAAAACTTTTTGAATTATTAAATTCGGACATTCCATTCCTTAGATATTGCAAGTTTAAAAATGTTAGTATATTGTAATTTAAATATCCAAACAGCTTAGTGACTGACTTAGTAGTTATCATAAGTTTTCAATCACATTTATACTGGTAATTCCTGTTCATCAGTTAGCAAATTATTTAATACTAAGGAAGTTTAATATTTTTATCATTTTAAAATGCCCAAAAGATCAGTCTACCGTGCAACACTATATCTCTGGGGCCTGTTTAGGATGCCGTACTCAAAGGGTAAAACGGCACCCTATTACTAAGACTCCGCTGTCCGTCTGTATGTCCGGATGTCTGTCCATATGTCACCAGGCTGTATCTCATGAATCGTGATAGTTAGACAGTTGAAATTTTCACAAACGATGAATTTCTGTTTTTGTTTGCTATAACAAAAAATACCAAAAAACCAAAAAATATAAATACGTGGGGCTCCCATAAAACAGACATGATTTTTTGCCGTTTTAATAGATAATGTTAACAGTAGTAGTGTTTTTGACAATATGTAAGTGTAATACTTCTATATTGAATAAAGATATTAAAACATGATTTTTTTAATGTGATAGAGTGGCAAACGAGCTGGTGGTTCACCTGATGTTAAGTAATAGCCGCCGCCCATGGACAATTGCAACACCTGTAGGGTTGCAAATGAGTTGCCATCTTTAAATAAAGTAGGCCCCGGCTACCTCTCTCACCAGACGAAGAGTAGAAGTTATAACACTTCCATTTACGCCGGTCTTCTGTGAGATCGGTACCCTTTGTGTGCGAGTCTGACTCGCAATTGGCCGGTTTTTATTCAATACATTGTCGATATGATGGCAAAAAGATATCAGAAAGATTGAATTACATATTATGTCGTAATCACCAGAGACTGAGGGCTGGGGAAACATTCATCTTAGAGAAGCTTTAAATTCAAGACATTGGCTTATCAAACATCGGATCATCAGACATCGGCCAACAAAAATACCAAAGATGCGATGATTTATGTCCGAAGCTATGGGAGACCAGACTTATTTGTCACTTTTACGTGACGTTATTTCAAGGGTATTTCATTAAAAGATGAAGAAATTTATATTAAATACCCGTGCGAAGCCGGGGCAGGCCGCTAGTATAACTATAAAAAGAGAATGCTATCTGATTGGTGGATTGATCTGTGTCTTACCCAAACCTATTTTTTGTATGGAAGATTTACCTCTACTGGTAGATTCTGAAAATTCTAATTATACGAATAAATAAGGAAGGTAGTTAGAAAACTCTAAATATGAAACACATGTTTAAATAGTATATGTAACTGTATGTTACTCATATATATGAGCATAATCGATAAACCTTTTTCCTCTATTATGCCTCCAAATAATATTGAGTACCTAAAGTTTTGTTTTCCATTTCAAAAATAAATTTAAAAAATGTGTCCGGCCTTTTTGCTACCATTAAAATACCCAAAAGCAATTTTCTAGATTAATTTAAAATTAAAAAAAAATGTATGCGACAAGGCAAATAGAATGTTGATACACATGAAATCCGTAGAATGTTATTGGATTGTAAAAAATTCCAGGTGTCCCTGCAACCGTCGCACACGGTCATCGCGCGCCCCCATTACTCTTCGAACGGCGGGGAAGCCTCCGTGGGCGCTGCGCTCTCCGTTAGCGACACGGGCAGCGGCCCCGCTCACACCTTCGACCAAGACCTGCTGGCTCTCTTCGGCCACGCGGCCCGACAGGACGACCAGAGGCCGCAAGTTTACACCCCAACCCAGCAACCGCTGCTAGTGGCACCGCAAGCGGCTGCACCGCAATATCAACAGGTAAAGAAATCAATAAAAAAAAGGTTGTTTAAATCATTATCAGTTGACCCGATGGTCCTAATGGACAGTGACCCTGCCTTTTGCGCCAGAGGGGTTCGAACTCAACTACTGGAGAAATATTGTGTGATGTATATGTTTTTCCAGTGCCTGAGTGTTTATATACTTACGAGTATAATATGTATTTATTTACAAAAGAAAAATATGTTTAACTGTTATCTAGTACCCATAGTACAAGCGTTTAGTTTGGGACTAGAAAACGTTGTGTAAAAATGTGTCTCGAAATATTTAAGTATGTATTTATTTAATATAATGAACGTTTGAATAATTGCCAACGAGGAACTTATGATGTAGTGAAATGCCTTGAAATTCTAATTTCCCAAAATGCACCCTGCATTCACAGTAGTCCTCCATCGCAATAACTCGAGCTTCATCATCACCATCATCATCAGCAAATGTGGAACAAAGGCACGAGCTTCAACAAACGTACAATGTTTTATTCTTTATCTTGATATCGAGTAACCTTTTTTTCATTTCGTGCCAGAACCAAAAATTGTTATCATTGTGAGTTACTTTAGGGTACAACAAAGTGGAACAAAAATGTTGCAAGTAAATATGCATTGAACCTCTTTACAGTAGAAATCATATGTCTAACTTTACCGCTATGGACTCTTTTATTTGTGAAGGTGGCCAGTGGTTCATCTGAAGTTAAGCAGTACGCTTAAGCATGATGGTTGCTCATCGTCAGATGTTATTTATGTACAATGTTCCACACTCACTTTACTCACCAGTCAAAAAGCAAGCAAACCTAGGCTAGTTTTTAAAATAGATTATATACCATTTTTATTTTTCAGATTGAGAGATACGTGACCAAACCTACGAAGAAACCGACGAAATTGCGACCTAAAATTCAATTCACATCAACCCAGGCGCCTGCTGCTCCCCAACAATATCTAATAGAGACCACAAATGTACAAGCACAGCAGCAATTACAAAACCAATACCGCTCTCTACAACCCCAGCGTACGGCACAAACCCTTCGCTTCATCCCCATACCGGAGTCGCAGCCATCTATACCGCTGTATGAGCGGCCTGAATCTCAGGGTCTGAAAATTGTTCCCGCTCCTAATTTGCAAAATTTACAACCACAGGCTCAAAACAACTACGTTTATATTCCGCAATATCAACAACCCGAACTTGTTCAAAAGCAATACAGGTTTCTAGACACGCAAAGGCAACAAATTCAGGCAGTAAGACAAGAGCAGCCCCGAATTGCGCTATCGAATGTTGAGAGACCATTGACTTACCTGAAACGATTCCCCGACCCAGAGAAAGTTCGCACTGTCAAAATCTATAACCAAGCTGGCCCGGAAGGTGTTCCTTCAGCCCCTCAGCCCACGCAAATCATCGGAGAACAGTACTTCCTGCGGCCTTTGTACCGATCAAACGACCAGAGAGGCAGATACGAATTATCACAATTGTCTTTAAGACAATCGGAGCAGGCGCGATTTCTCGAAGCGACGAAGGCCCCACTTTCGACAATATATGTGAACAAGAACCTCTCACCCAAGAAGGCCTCGAGGCCTGCACTCAGAATAGAGCCATCGGCAAAACTGGAACAATCGGGGCAGAGTTATACAGCGGAGCAGCCCGCCAACTCCGATCAGATATCCGTGGAGCAACAAGCCAGGGCGTTGGATGCCCAACGTCGACAATTGCCCCCGCCGAAGAACAACAAGGCATACACGCAAGAGGAGTTCGCGGCCTTAGTTGCTGCTGGCTATTCTGTGACCCCCATCCCGGTGGGCAATTCGGGGCAGCAAGCGGCGCAGTCGCGGTCATCCGTGGAGGCGATACAAATACCGCAACGCCACCCGTTATACAACAATCGTCACCAGTATCTTCCCCTGAGATCTGACGAAGCGCCTTGATATTTTTCACGATGATGTACAGAAATTAGCATTAAAATTAGGTAATAAAACTATTTTGTAATTTATTGGCGTTTCATTAAAATCTTACAGGCTATCTTTATTATATTATGTGCCCGGCATCCCGTATATAACGTATATCTATTCATGTGCAATATTTGAATTGAATATTACATGACTCTAAGCCTGGCAAACCATGAAATTAGCTCGAAATTGAATTTCGGTCGGGGAACAAATTTCATTATCAGGGTAATATTCATGGGAAATGTATTTCAGCTATTCGATTTTCGACGAACTCGTTGTTCAAATTATTCTACATTTATTATTTAACTTCTGATATAGTTATCCGATTCACCTCCGAAAGGAAGTTACAATAAAAATATAACAAACTCAAGGTAATTAATTATTTAAATAATATTTGAGTATCCCTACTAATCCTTATTAATATAAAGGCGAAAGTTTGTATGTATGGATGGATGTTTGTTACTTTTTCACGCAAATACTACTGAATGGATTTTAATGAAACTTTACAATAATATAGCTTGTACATCAGAATAAAACATAGGCTATAATTTATATACATATTTTATGTATATCTGTCTTTCTGTCTGAATATTACGCCTTCAACCTATTCTAAGCAGACGTAGTCGCGGGCAGCAGCTAGTAATATTATAAATGTGAATGTAAGTTTGTTTGTTACGCTTTCACACCAAAACTACTCAACCGATTATCATGAAATTTTGTACACATATCCTTAAGAGGCCATAAGATTCTTTTTATTAAAAAAATGTTTATTTAAGGAATTCAACGCGAGCGTAGCCCCGACCACAGGTAGTAAACAATAAAATAAAAATAAGTTCGTGCTAGATATTCATTAAGCATTGGTTACAATTAGGCCATTGTTAGCTTTTAAATATTTAAAAAGAACCAAGCTTTTCTTTCTTCCTTGTTTTTAATCGGCGCAATAAACGCAGGGTTAATATTACAACTGATAATTTAATTAAAATGTTTATTTAATATTAATATTTTTAATTAAACAATGGAGTGTATTTATTTTCATTACTTTCAATACTTTGACCGAATCAATTTCAGTCTCAAAAGTGACAGGTGAGTACATGTCGCAAACCGATGACTTCTTATAATTCGGTTTGCGTAAGATGTAATAGACAACGTCGAAAATTACTAGTTAAAATTACTTTAATAATTGATTAATGTAAACTGTAAACTGTCATAATGTCTGTCTACTTACTAACTGTCAATAATAGGTTGAATTTAATACCCAAAATTAATAGTTCACGTAGAAGAATAACAATATCATCAATCGTCATATTAAATCAAACACTGCTTTACCAATGTTGGTATGTATTGTAAAAGCGGTATTTGATTCTATATGTCGGCATTGAATCTTATTATTCTTATTCTACCCAGTGCTATAAAACTCACATGAAAAAGTAACGCAGAGAAAATGGAAGTCTACACTTATCGTATAAAATACAACCAGACCGTAATTGCCCTTTAGTAGTCGAATAAGTTTTCTTCGAACACAGAACACAGACATGTAGAAATACACCATAGTATTTAGCTTATTTCTATAAAAGTAAAAAATATGTTGTTAAAACTAATAAAACTATTTTATATTGTTAAAATACAATAACATATATTTTTAAAAGCAAAAGATTTGACAATGTCTGCAATTAAATTAAACAATAGCCTACGTGAAAAAGATTATTAAGATTTGTTATGATTTTTAATTAATTAAATTTTTTAATTAATTAATTTAAATTATGATTATTAATTCATATTACTTTTCATTCACGTCTAATCTGTTCAGCTCACAGCCCATATTGAACCCATCAAACAATTTAGACCGTAGTATTGACCTATTAACATAGGTATTATAGGTAGGATTTTGAGCAGTTGAAAGAAATGTTCGGTTTTCGAAAACTAATATGCGTTGTACTCACATTTGATGTGACACAACACCATATTATTTTACTGAGTCATTTTGGTTTAAATCGTTGTGGACTATTTTATTGTATCTTAGTAGCACTCGCGTATGTAGGCAAAATTATACCAGGTACTGAATCAAACTTTGATAGATGGCTGACCTTTCCGCGTAATGGATTTCCATTGTCTGCTTGACAGGGATGTTTATTCGCTTCTGTTTTTTTGCGGCGATAGTTTTATATTCCAGTCTCGTCTAACACCGATTTTCCGACATTAAAAACTTACAAGTTGACGCTTGCGAAATCTACGCACAGTACCGAGATCAGTTAAATAATGGTAACGTAATAATGGTTAAGTATTTGTCATTCAAAGAATTTTCATTTTGAAGAACTTTCATTTTGAAGAATAATGTTCAAGTTTACTTTGCTTTTGACGCGTTTGTAAAAATTATGCGAGGAAAATTAAAAAAAAAAAATTCGCAAAAGCGACATGATGCTTGGTAACCGAATTAATATTGGCAAGTAATAATAACTTTTTGATATTTACCAATAATTTTTAAAATAAACCGTTATCAATTGCATTTAATGTGTTTAAGCTAAAAAAGTAACTTCTTACGAGCGTACATAAGTACTTTTTACACATTCTTTACAAGAAAATTTTAAACGAAGATTTATTTTCTACCCTTTAACTTTATTCTACTTTACAATTTGTCGAAAAAGTACAAAAATATTGTCGCCTTCACAAATAATTTCGAATATCGTCTTTCAACGATAACTGTATGCTTGAAAGGATATAATAATGGATGCGCCAAGCGTTTTTTTAAATGCTAAAAAAAACAATGTAGATAAAAGACATTAAGATTTTCATCGGTATGGCGATCAGCCGTTTAACTTAGTGGCTAAAGCGTCAAGCCGCGAATGCCGAAGACGTGGGTTCGATTCCCACAGCGGCGTCAGTCTTTTCGTACCTTTACTACAAATTTTAATGTTTAATATTAAGTGTAGAGATTAGCAGTATAAAAATATAAATTTATATTCTACTTGTTTGAGATAGATAAAATACGATTTTTGAAACGTGTTTTTTTTTTAGTAAACCGTTCTTTTAAACATTTGTTATCCGCTGTTGATGAAACTTAAACAAGTAGAATAAAATTAATGTGTTCATAAAAAAGTTTAATTTTGGAAGTCAATAGACAGTAAAATGATGCGCGGATTCGGTAAATGTGTTTGCTTCCGTCAAATTATATTGTGCAAACACATGACGTCAGTTGCATTTACGCGCGTCTTTACACCGTCGTTTTAACATCCAGTGTAAAAGTTATTTTGCGTTGTGCTAGAAGAAGAACTGAATAAATAGGTGCTGTTTTTTCCCATATCATAAGTATTAGTAGATTAAGCCGTCTGTTTGATTATCACAGAACGTGATGTCAAATTATTTGTTATTAATATTAATGCCCAACCCTTAGTGTAGACTAGGAGCAATTGTCAAGACTCTGTCGTTTGTCAGGAAGCTTATCAAGCATCGTTTGCAATTCCTCACAGTTCACCTGTGCCTTATTTGCTGGTACGAGTATAACGAATATTAAAAGGCTATAACAATCGCGGCACAAGAAACACAAGCTGCATTTTTTAAAGCAATTTACTCATGATTTTGCCGCCTCCCCGGTGCCAAATAAGGGGGACGAACCGTTTCTTATATCATCCAGGTCGCATTTGGGTTGCTGATTTAGTATGGATTTAGTTACAGTTAGTTGTTTAGTTACGGAGTTTTTATGTATTTTATTTATTCATTTATGCTTTATTGCTAACCTTAAGAAAAAAAAGTAAAAAGGGGCGGACATAGTGACCAAGTGCATTCTCTACCAGGCAAAGCATTATTTTGCTTAATAATATTTGTGGAAATTGGTGACTATATTCTCATCAAACATGCAGCATCAAACTCGCAGCATAAGTTATTTGTATTTAGTTTTATTATAGAAACTCGTAATCTTATTTTCAACAGCAAAAGCGATATTTCTAGTTTTCAATAATTAATTTTTGTGTGCAACAAAATGTGTTTGTTGCAAAGGAAGCACCTGAGATGATTGAGCGTTATTAAAACGCAATAAAATGAAAGTAGATACGATGTCGAGAATTTCGTACAGACTTTTCGACAATTTTATGCATACATTTTATGTTTCATACTTCTTCAATCCAAACTTAGTATCGGCGCCTAAATCATAAAAACCAATTCACCACAGCGGCGAGAATCTTTTCGTACTTTTTCTACAAATTTTAATGTTTAATCTTAACAATTTATAAATTCATTTCAATTTCCAAAATGACCAAATTCTGAAACTGAATTAGAATCTCGATTAACTTCTTAACTAAAACGGGCTTGTATATTTCTAAAGTGCTTTTTTTATAAAAGTATATATAACCTTTAATTTTAAAACATTTACATTATAATGGCCTGCGACGTTAGCATATTATAACTGCGATACAAGAAAGGGAAGATAAGACAGTTCAATGAACTGACTTCTTTCTAGACGCATTTGTTCTGAGCGGGAAACGAATAGAGAAGCAAAAACCGGTAGCTTAGCAACTGTGTCAACCGATCCATCTCCTTTCATTACCGCTATATCGTATTCTGCCACAATCATTATTCTAATAGGTAATTATCTTGTTATATCTCTGCTAGTACGCCGGTGAAAACAGTTTGCACAAATGAATTACAATTAAGGTCTATATTTACGTTTCTTCGTAGCTATCATTGAAAAAAACGTAATTAGTATGTTTTAGAAACGAAAAAATATTTATTTCGTTTCAAAATCTCTCAGACGGAATTATTTTTCCTAGAATGTTCTTCTTTGTGAATAATTAGATTCTGTTTCCTTTGTAGATAAAAAGACTAACAAGTGCTTTAATTAGAAAACGTAAATTTGATTTCTTTATCTTATTAATTTCAATTGTAAAAAAAAAAATCAATGAACAAAGTGATAAATACAGACGTGTATGTTACCTTTTACGTTTATAGTAATTTCAAAATATGGCAGAATTTGGCTGAGTTTTATT